GAGGCGGGATGCGCCAAGGCGGGATGCGCTCCTGGGAGGATGCACGGTGCCGGGATGCATGGTACCGGGATGCACTCCTGGGAGGATGCACGGTGTTGGGATGCGCTCCTGGGAGGATGCGCCGGGGTGGGATGCGTGGTGCCGGGATGCGCTCCTGGGAGGATGCGCTGAGGCGGGATGTGCGGAGATGGGATGCGCGGTGCCGGGATGCGCTCCTGGGAGGATGCTCCGAGGCGGGATGCGCGGTGCCGGGATGTGCTCCTGGGAGGATGTGCCGAGATGGGATGCGTGGTACCGGGATGCGCTCCTGGAAGGATGCGCTGAGGCGGGATGCGCGGTGTTGGGATGCGCGGTGCCGGGATGCGCTCCTGGGAGGATGCACGGTGTTGGGATGCGCTCCTGGGAGGATGCACCGAGGTGGGATGTGCGGTGCCGGGATGTGCTCCTGGGAGGATGCACTGAGATGGGATGTGTGGAGATGGGATGCGCGGTGCCGGGATGCGCGGTGCCGGGATGCGCTCCTGGGTGGATGCGCCGAGGCGGGATGTGCCAAGGCGGGATGTGCTCCTGGGAGGATGCACTGAGATGGGATGTGTGGTGTCGGGATGTGCTCCTGGAAGGATGCGCCGAGGCGGGATACGTGGTGCCAGGATGCGCTCCTGGGAGGATGCACCGAGATGGGATGCGCAGTGCCGGGATGCGCTCCTGGGAGGATGCGCCAAGGCAGGATGCGCGGTGCCGGGATGCGCTCCTGGGAGGATGCGCCGGGGTGGGATGCGTGGTGCCGGGATGTGCCAAGGTGGGATGTGCTCCTGGGAGGATGCACTGAGATGGGATGCGTGGTGCCGGGATGCGCTCCTGGAAGGATGCTCCGAGGTGGGATGCGCGGTGTTGGGATGCGCGGTGCCGGGATGCAATCCTGGGAGGATGCACCGAGGCGGGATGCGCGGTGCTGGGATGCGCAGTACCGGGATGTGCTCCTGGGAGGATGCGCCAAGATGGGATGTGCGGAGATGGGATGTGCGGTGCCGGGATGCGCTCCTGGGAGGATGCACGGTGCCGGGATGTGTGGTACCAGGATGCACTCCTGGGAGGATGCGCGGTGTCGGGATGCGCTCCTGGGAGGATGCGCCAAGATGGGATGTGCGGAGATGGGATGCGCGGTGCCGGGATGCGCTCCTGGGAGGATGCACGGTGTTGGGATGTGCGGTGCCAGGATGCGCTCCTGGGAGGATGCGCCGAGGCGGGATGTGAAGTGCCGGGATGCACGGTGCCAGGGTTCGCAGTGCTGGGATGCGCTCCTGGGATATTTGGAGCTGGGACACGCGGCTTCTGGGGTATGTGGAGCCGGGACACGCGGCTCCCACCACATGCAGCTCCTGGGACACACAGTTCCCAGGACATGGGGAGCCGGGACACGCGGCTCCTGGGATATGGGATCCCTGGGACACACGGCTACTGGGGGACACGGAGCTGGGATGTGCAGCTCCCAGGACACGCGGCTCCTGGGACACACAGTTCCCGGGACACACGGAGCCAGGACACGCGGCGTTCCTGTGGCGTTCCTGGCGCCGCTCCGGGTGCCCTGGGGTTCCCGGCCAGATCCCGCGGCGTTCCCAGCACCGCTCCTGTCACCCTGGGTGTCCCGGCCGGATCCTGCGGCGTTCCTGGTGCTGTTCGGTCGCCCTGGGTGTTCCGGCCGGCTCCCGCGGCGTTCCCGGCACCGCTCCGGTTGCCCTGGGGTTCCCGGCCGGATCCCGTGGCCTTCCCAGCACCGCTCCGGGTGCCCTGGGTGTCCCGGCTGGCTCCCACAGCGTTCCTGGTGCCACACCGGTCACCCTGGGGTTCCCGGCTGGATCCCGCGGTGTTCCCGGCACCGCTCCGGTCGCCTTGGGGTTCCC